AAGGTGCAGTTTTGCCTCGACTTACTTTATATTGTTTCAGAAAGTAATACCATAGTAAGGGGTTGAAATAGGCAGTTGCTAATTTTGCTTGCAATAAATGTTTTTGTTTCCATGCGCTTTCGTCTACCTCTAAATTAATAGTTACCTTCAAAGATGTATGAAATTCTTTTGTTTTGGTCTCCCACACAAAGAACGTTGACCTCCTAGTACTGTCGTTGCCCAATATGATCTAGTTCAGGGAAGAAAAAAGTGTACAGTTAATAAACCAAACCATGGCTTTTTGGAACATTTCAGAACAGAAAAAGATACTTTTCGCCTTGTCACGAGTGTGGGACAAAGAAAAATTTCTGAGTCCCCATGAGGAATCGAACTTCAGACCTTTGGATTCCGCGCTATGATGCTCTATCACTGAGCTACAGAGACTCTGTGGTGAGGGTGGCCCATTACGAAGTTTACATATGACAGAACAGTTCAGCAACCAATGTTCATTTGCTACAGAATAACGAACTAACCTGGTTTGTATTGTCTACCTCAATAGTTCCTCTAACTTCAATAGAGATGGTTTTTTTACCATTGATCGGACCTTAAACAAACCATTTTAAAATGTGTATCATGGTTTTTGTACATGTTTGAACTTATCAGAAGTAAGAGATAGAGAGCTTTGAAAAGAAAAACGATCGAAGAATCCTATGTGGTATTTGGGCGTGTGTACTATGGTTTTGAACCTACGGAGTCCCATTTTTTTAGTGCATTTCGCTGTACACTTGTTTTAAGACATCACCAGAAAGGACGGAAGCTATTTGTAACATTTCAGAGGTCGAGTGTAAATATAATACTTCCTAGAGTCTGCCCTCGTTTCATGAAAATGTATGCACTGGAAAAGAGTTGGATTTCTTATGAAAAATTCAAAGAAACTCTCTACTGAAAAACACGTACAGTCACGTCGGGGACTCTGAAAATATTTCCAAGAATTCTTTAAAATATTTAACCTGGTTTCAAGTTTCAAGCAATACCATTGGCAGTGAATATCATCAGGGAAACATAATTATGCCAGCTACTTTGTCAACTACGCTATACCATTTGGCGAAAATAGATAAATAGATAGAGCTGAGACGCTATTTAGTGCTTCTTCTCTTAAAAATACTGAACAAAAATCAAATGATCAAAACTATTTTACCTACCCAGCAATATATCAGCCACGTTCTTGAGTTCTATCTTAGTCAGGGCATCTGCAAGCTTTCCAACAGTAGCATCCCGTCCCCTTCGATGGATCCATTTTACAATGACAGCGATACAACATTCCTTGGGGCAATTGGTCTTTTCAGCTTGGATCATGTCAATGTCATTTTCGCTGAAGTCTAACATTCGCGCCAAATCTCTCCACTTTTCCGGTCCTATCAACTTGGGCAGCTGATGCTCATGAATAATGCTCTCAGTCATCCCAACATTCGGGTCAAGCGTATTATTATTCATAGCGAAATCTGATGTTATTACAATAAGCTTATGCTAGAGCCTTAAACATGATATAATAATAACAGCCTAAATAATAATAGTGCGCAGTTTTTACACTTTGATATGATCAAATGTGCAAACATAAAATATTAAAACATTTCAATCTATCAAATATGTTACCTTGGTCGGGAGTTTTTCATGGACAAGGAGGAAAAAAATACGGAATAAAGGTTTGGCTAACACATGACAACTTACTTAGTACAATGTTTATGTCATCGTTTCGGCTTGTCACGCAACCCAAGAAGAAGCTTGTTATGTAATAGGAATGAAGGTCGGCCCTTGAAGGAGCCCACCTGATGTAAAATTATTTATTATTTTTAACTTTAGAATTTCCTGCTTTCAGTAGTTATTGGTTTTTGCATAAAATTTGAGAACTGCGAGAATAAATTCTCCCCAAGTGCTTCTCAATGATGAATGACGTCAATTCAAAAAACATATTTGGGTTTTATAACTGAAATATGACCAAATATAGAAGTTTCAAAACGTTTTGAACAGCGTCCACAAGAAAAGAATTGAAGGAGGCAAATATCGATCTGATCTATGTTTAGCATTATCACGCTCTCGTCACTCTAGAAAACGTGGAAACCTGAGTCATCAATGATCTGTAGCGTTGATGATTCGCACGTGATAGGTAATCAATACGATTCCGCCCTCAAAGGGACTTTCCCGTTTAATACACAGTTTCGGTTTCGACAAGTCAAATCGAAACTACCCGAGGAAAACCATGATTCAAATGACCTTCTTTCGCTAATCTAACCATAACTAGATTCGAGGACGAGATAATTTCAGAGTCAAAGCCGTCAATGACGGATAGTTACCATCTATCAAATGGCTCTTGCTTTCTTCAACTGACCCTAAGATAGCCCGATGTTATCACGGTTAGGTAAATAAATTTGTCTTGATCAAAACAGGCAAATATTTGATATTTACCACGATAATATCCCATGACAATGACGCCTGAGGTATTATTTCCTGGTTTATAGTATAGATTCACGGTGACTTCGAGCAATATCGCGAAAAGAATTGTCTAAACGTTCACAAGTACTTAAAGAAACAACCCACTGCCATGAATTGAATTTTAGATACCTTGCACATTGTCTTTACAGAGGCTAATGCTAATCGGTATATAGATAAAAAAAAAAAACATCTCCTCTGCATGATATCAAAATGTAGAATATAGAGCAGAGCGAGAGGAACTCGCACCGGTATTAAGGCGATATGTAGCAGCGTTTACGTAACATCGCCAAGCATAGAGACAAACATAAATATGTCATATCCAAACAGTAACCCTTTCTAGGAAATTTATTTACCCGGAAACAACAGTTTATTCATAACTATGAACTCGCAAATGAGTAATGGCTGAAGGTAAAACTACTAACCCATTTCTGAAGACGAATTTGCGGATCACACTGATTTTTCCCACTCGTACTCAGGTTATAGCAGTTTCTTTATGCACTCAAGCCGCTTGGCAACGTCGAACAGATAAATACTTGGCGACGAGGTTCTTTATGGTATCGAAGGCTAACATGAAAGTTTTGAGGTAGGCCCCGTGGCTGTGGTCCATAGCTTCAATGAACATCTGTTAAACTGCGTGTAAAGAATAAGACAGGAACCTATGAATATTCAGAAAACTCAGTCGAAAAGAAAGTCAACCTTTTCTTCGATTTTGTTTCATTTGAACTCGCTATGCTGTTCAGTTGTCGCTCGTCGGTGAAGTCAAACGACTGAATGATGGGTACAAACCTTAATTGCAAATTCTGCAAATGTTTCCTCTTCAGAGAAATAGCAGCTAGTTTCTTCTCTTAGGAAGAAGGCAAGACTTAATATTCAACTGGCTAAGTGCGCCCCTATTTCAACTCCTTTCGTTTTCAGTTTTTCAAACACCGCTGTCCCGTAAATATTTTGTACGTTGGCGGCAACATAGACGCCGAGTGCAGCCTTGCATGAAATGCACGTGGCCCCCATGCTGTCAGTGCGTTTTTTACATGTATCTTCGCTAAAGGACTAGGTCAGTTTTTTTAAAATCCCTCCAAATGAAAATCGCATGGGAAACACGTGATAGAGTGAACACTTGAGTCATGAAGTCAGAACGTGAACAGCGTGTGAACAAAGATTTTCCGATTGTTCGACTGAACTTAAAATATCCATTGCCGGTTTTTGATAAATATAGAAATATATCGAAAACCAAAATGCGTGAGCGGAGGTAATATGCCAAGCTTCCAAACAAAGGCGCTGGTGGTAACGCCGATTGGTGGTAATAATTTTAGACTCATCCCACCCAATTGTATGGTTAGTTAGGCATGTGTTCCCCGATAAAGCTGAATTTTCTTTTTTGCAAAAGAAGAAAGAAAACCGTTCCCTCTCATCAGGAGTGTTACTAGTTGTAACCAGTTTGTGGCAGTTACGGAGACACGTTTTTGTATAGCCATTCGCCTTTAAGACGTTAGAAACATGTTTCCTCTCCTCAGCCTTCGAATCGAGTGAAGATGGTTGATATTCAACCCTCCTGAGTAAAGTTTTGGCTACAGATTTTTTATGGCAAATAGGGTGGTGAGAATTGAAAGCGAGGTATTTGTTGGTGTGGGTAGATTTACGATAAACGCTTGTCTCTAAATTACCCTGAACCCCTCTGGACACATTTAAATCAAGAAGGGAAAATGTCTATCCTTTCCACGCTCAGGGGTGAATTGGATAGACGGCTCTAATAAATTCAAATCCGATAGGAGGCGCTCCGCTTCATTTCCGGATACCGCAGAAATAACATCATCGACATATCGTTTCCAGAAAAAGGCTTTAACCGGTGAAGTGAAGTTACTATGTTGGCAATGACAGCAGAGACGGGCGAACCCATAGCTGTACCAAAAACTTGTTGAGAGTAGGTGCCGTTGTATGCAAATTGCGTGGTTTTGAGGCAAAAAGACAGCAGATGAATAATATCCCTCACAGGCAAAGAAGTTTGTGTCCTAGGGAAACATCTTCTGAGTCTCTTCTCCGCAACCTTATTAACGGCAAGATCAACTGGGATTTTAGTGAAGAGCGAAACAACGTCGAAAGATAATAATTCTTTACAGGCGTTAAGAGTCTTATCTCTTATGAAATCTACTAATTCGCAGGAGTTTTTGACAGTGTAATCGGTATTCCCAACAACAAGCGACAAAATTCTCGCAAGATAACCAGAAATTGCATAAGTTAGAGAATTAACAAAAGAGACAAACCATAAAAGCGTGGACATAACTCCGCCCACGCTCCTTTAAATCGGTATTTTGTGGTGTATGGTCTCTATTGTCTAACTACTTCTGAGCAAATAATATAAATAATAAGATGTATCGGTGCCACGCTTACTGTAGTCTCTTTCGCAGCCGTTGTTTGGTCTCGTCACACAACGCCCTCGATTCCCCGTTGGAGAAAAAAAACCATTGCGTGACGAGATCAAATAACGGTTGCGACCGTTAACAGAAAGAGAATCATAATTATTCGTCTACTCTACAGTTAGTCGCCTCAAAAATATAATTCCACGTAAGTTTACAGCGAAAAGCAGACTGAAACTGTTGTATCTTCAATAGAACCTAACCAAAGATGTATCGCGATCTCGTATGAGGAAAGACACACTGAGCAAGAGAAAAAAATAATATTTTAAAGAGCGCGCCTTAATTGGTTGTTGCCTATCTGGACTTTGCCCCCTGTGTGTGAAATGCGTGATACAATGCACGTTGTTTACAAGGAATTAACATGCGATTGGGTTAATTCCAGGGTAGCTAAAAGCGAATTTTAATCGTGGAAGAAGTCAAAACGCACGAGAATGCGTTGAAAATTCACTATCTGTAGCATAAAGTTTCATGTCAATTATTTTTCAGTGGTGTCGGATAATGCGAAGTCTAACGTGACAAAATGAAATTTGCATTGATGAGTAGAATGCAATTCAAGCACCTGAAAAATTACCTGATAATCATGTAGTCCAATGATTGGGTACGTTCTGATTGGACTTTGGACGTTGTTTTCAGGGTATGTGATGTTCAGAGTAAAGGGGCGGAATAAACACGTTTTAAATTAAAAATTTAATTGTGAACCTTTCATATCCCGATAAATCTCGACTTTAATGGACGAGGCTCTCGCGAAGGCCACAAACCATTTTATTTAACAAATAAGCCCAAAATTTCTGATTAATGTTATTCTTTGTGCACAGCCCCCTGATCCATGACATCATATACGAGAAAACAATACCCAAACGCTGTGATTGGTGCAAGATATTCAAATGCTGTTATACGACTGGTGCAAGATACATACCCTAACGCGGCAATCTGATAAGTGCGAGATAAATACCCTAACGTGGCGATCTGATTGGTGCGAGATACATACCCTAAAGCAGCGACCTGATTGGTGCGATTAACATATCGCTCTATACGCTAACATAGAGTTATTCTTTTCTTCTGTGAATGGGTAGGTACACTGTGAAATTGAGGGCCGAAGGCCCGAACCTCTAGGGGGGTCCGGAGGCATGCTCCCCCGGGAAACTTTTAAAACTTAAGTCCCCCAGAAGTGCATTTTCCTGCAATCTGTTAAAGAAATCTTCCTGGAATGACACTTACTTAATCTAATTATAGTAAAAAATAATGGTACACTGGGAGAATTTGTTTATTTCACTACAACCACATCAAAACACTGCTCTTGTTCTCAGAGCTTCCTTTCTTCCTACCGTTACAAATGAACTTTTACTTACAAACTGATAAAGAGTGAAACTGACAACATTTGTAGTTTATGAAAACTCAAAGTCAGAGCCACCCAGCAGTTAAAAATTTGAAACAAATATTGATGGAGCATTGAAGTTTGATACACAATCAGCCCTTGCCGAAAACAATTTTTACAAAACCTCCGATGGGCTTTATCTTGAATGAAAATTAAATTGGAACAACGTTTATTTCAACTGCTCGGAATATTTAAGCTTTGAAAGCCAACAAAATCTTGGCTTATTGAGACGCACGTGTCGTGCTGGGGACCTGTTTCTTTGCTGATCCAGTCCTTTGTCTAAGATTTACTGATACTTTAAAAGTTCAACAATGGCATCAATTATGATCTGTGCCTGAAAGTAAAAATAACACATGTTTAGAATACCAAATAATTGCGAGTGCTTAAGGGGGAATATTTAAGATTAAATGTTACGAAAATTTATATTCGGATATACGAATTGGAAACTAAAAATTTGCAGAGAAGCCACGCAAGCCTTCAAATCAAAGTGCACTATTGTAGAGTAGATTCAAAGTATTTTTCCTCTTGAAAAAGATATAATTTGTATAGTTCCCTGGCAAAAATTTACCTCTTCAATGGTTTCTTTTCAACAGGAAATGCTACTCTCAAAGAGTCACAAAAACAAATATAATAAATAAGCTGAAAGAGAAATTTTTTGGATTCCTCAATATTTGAAATTTTTTTTTCTGATGACTCATAGGAGCCCGTATTAAAATGTATGTCTGAAGGTGGAGTTTAAAATGAATGAGGGCCAGGAGCCCATTTAAGTTTCTTAGCAACCTATCATTGGCTTTAGATTCCCTCATAAATATTCTTTGTTCAAATTTTTACACAAATTAAAAACCTGTATGTGACACAGAAAAACCCTCCCACGGGTCTCGTTATGTGTGTAAATCTTGATTGCTTTTTTTAATATTTCTCTGAGCGCCAATAATATTCAGTCTTGACCCTGGGCATTGTTTTCCATTGTATGCCCACTGAAATGGCAAGACCAAGAAAACGGTTTTTACTATTATTATCTTTTTTTAATAACCCTCCTTGATATTGTTATCAGTTCTGGTGACAGTTTACAGCGCAGTAGAAACTTAATTTGCTTTCTTCATGAAATCAGCACGTCTAATTATCGGCATGTTCGGAAGGTTTTTTACTCTACTTATAAGCCATTCTCTCGAGATTGAATCCAACTCAAACTCTTTACAAAATTGTGCGAACCCGAAGCTAAAATAATGTATAGATTTAGCCAAGCCTAAAAGCGGAGCTCGCATTAATATACTAGTGTTTGATGCATATATTTCCTGAGCTGAGAGAGCTTTTAAGACTTCATTTCTCTATGAAATAAAATTCAAATTCAAATTTTCAAACCACACATCTTAATTCCCGCCTCCTAAAATCAACTCAAATAAGCGTTTATAGATCAAATTTTCAGACGAAAATTTAATCAGGCTTAGTAACACTGTCTAAACTGCGCCTTTTTTGTGCAAAATATGAACATGGCTTTATTTATGAATTTTTCTAAAGGCTTCTTTTCTTAAAACTAAAGCTGCACGGACATGTCAATATTCATAATTTTTTTCTTTATCAAGAACATTCAGTTAAAGCCATTTGTCCGGTACCTTTTTTTTTTATTTAAGTCAACAAAGCTAATGAAATAAAGCAAATATAGAATTAATTCTGCGATCTCTTTTTTTCACGCTGCGTTTACCGCTGCTGAAATGAAAATAGTGCCAGTTTAACATCGCTTTATTTCGGTATAAAAATAATTTAGAATTTCATCGACATCAGAACATGGAAAAATCATATTCGTAAGACAAAGGATAATGAATTTTCAGTCATTTGTGCAGCTGGCCAAAAACGGGCTGTCTTTGAAATAGGGTAATGATGTACTATCAACTGATTTTATAACGTAAATTGGCCACCGTGAAGAGTTTAAAAACACTAAAAAGCCAAAAAACAAAAAAACAAAAGCAGACATAGTTATCAAAGCGGCCGACAAAGGTGGCGAAGTCATTGTTTGGCGGACCGACCCCTGCCAAAAGGAAGCTTTGATAACGATCTCACTTTCATCCACTAAAACATTGTAGGTTTTACCGAACACCAATTTTTTCGGTCAATACAGCCGCCCTCAAACCTGAACTTTACGTCGCTACATTGACGACTGCAACGGCGCTACTTCCTCTACCAGAGAGGAGCTCGCTCAATTTATAACCGCCGACAATCGGTGTCGACAAAATCTGGATCGGACCGGACTGGATTACGGATCGGATCACGGACCAAAAAAAATGTTTTCAAAAATGGGAAAAGAACAAGTCGTTTATAAAATAATAATAATAAATCGTCTAAAGAACTAAAATATGTGAAGTTACGAGCCAAAAATAAGTGTGCGTGACATAAATAGTAGTCATAAAACCAATTTTACTTGTCACCTCGCCTCTTCTCTCGCTTGTGGTAAGTTATACTGAATAAAGGAAGTAGAAAAATAATAGAGAAATATGTTTTTCGTCTTGTCACGCGCGTGGGACAAAGAAAAAATTCCAAGTCTCCACGAGAATTTGAACCTCAGACCTTCGAACTCAGCGCTCTGATGCTCTATTTCTTTATTAAACTCAAAATTTAAAAATTAGTCTGCTTGACATAAATAGTACGACTCGGGGTCACGATGCTCTACCACTGAGCTACAGACTCTAAAGTGGGCGAGGTCAATTACGAAGTTCATATGACACGTGTCCTGCATACTGCAAGGATCAGCAATGTCGATAACGTCATGTTTGTAAATAAAATAAGAGAGATGGTAAATTTTGAGCTCCATAAAGGAATAGAGCATCGGAGCGCGGAATCCGAAGGTCTGAGGTTCGATTTCTCATGGAGAATCAGAATTTTTTTCTTTGTCACACGCTCGTGGCAAGACGAAAAACATCTTTCTCCCTTAAAAAGGCCTCTACCCTCCAATTTCTTTCTAAAAGAGCAACTTATCATTAAAAAGAAGCTCGACGTTTTCCTTTCTGTCTCGCAAGGTCTCGCAAGGACTCTTTACTATACCCACATTATAAATAAGGTCTTTTTTTCTCTAAAAAGAAGGAGATACATTAGATCACGGGTCGAAGAGAGCTGGTTCGTGACTTTGCCAGGTCACTGTGTTGGGTTCTTGGCAAGGTGTTTTATTCTCTCGATGTCTATAGAAACGAGTAACAGCGAGCAGACAGCGGAATTTGACGAAATACTTAGAGGTGGGGTTAACTTGCATAGCACCCAAGGGATCAGCATTATTTCTGGTCCCCTTTTTGCCAGAGAAACTGGGAAAAGCTGGAGGGCAGACTTAAAACCTTTCTTTCTTTTTGACAACAGTAACTCCTCTAAAAAGTTACAAAGTATGTAAACCTAATGCAAGCATCATTTGGGGATCAAAGTGAGTAATTTTAGCAGAAAAAAGT